TGATGGTCCGATAACAAGACCCGTTGGATACGTACCACCTCGAGATATTGGTATTGGGTTAAATCCACTACTACCCTGATTATATTTCTAAAAGTAACTCCGATTGGGAGTAGTAATTTTGTATTTTAAAAATTCTACAACGTACTCGCCCTTCGAATTGTAATTAGAATGAATTGTACTTAGAAACTGTATGGTGGGCCGAATGAGAGCTACGTCAAACCTCTGTTTGTGTATGTGCTGACCGATGCAGTGAGTTTAGCATGATAAAAGTTCGCCTGAAAGCATCTGGGTTTCCATTCGCCGTGCCTTAAGCTTAAAGCTTCTTCGAAGCCTTAGGCATTTTCGAATTTTGGTCAGCGTCGATCCTAGTCAGAGATGAACAAGATGTCCCTTTTCCGTTGCCGCCCGCCCGCTGGCGGTCTTTAAGAGTCCCCGCTAAGCACTCGTGGCTTTCTCACTGCCTACTAAGGGCTTGTTTGCATTTTCGACAACCTCTCCAATCCTTCAGCTTGGCCAGGCAGGCCTGCGTTATTTTCAATAAACTCCACCTTTGCATAATCTTCAGTCAACATCAAAATTGACTGGACCTCCGAGCTAGAAAAATCATTAATTTTGATACAATCGGGAGGATACGACTTTATTCACAAAATCGGGCTTACGAACAACTTGCTGTTCCCCTTACCCTTTCCAATAGCCTTCTTAGCAACCCTCCTGGCAGTAATGGTAGCTACAGAAGTGGTTTCCTGCCATTCTCCATTCTCTTCACTAGAGAGTCACTCTTCTTTTCCTTTTCTCTTCACTGCTTTCTTTCCAGCTGTCCCTGAAGCATCTGTGTAATGGAGTGCCTAACAACCGTCTGGCTTTCATCGTCAAACACTTCTATGCTGAGAATAGGCCGACAAATAAGATTTGCAAAGTGACTAATCTATATAAAAGGAGACTTTGAAATTGGACAATTTATAACTGCTCCCAATAATAGGTATATATGTAAGTTGAAATATTTTAATATATCCAAAGGCAACAAATAATAAATAATATGGTGCTTATATTTGCTAATGTTTATTAATGTAATATGTGACTTAGCATATAATAATGAAATTACCATAAAAATTACATTTCTTTTACCTGTTTACTTCTTTTTTTCTCTATGAAGATGAAAAATCGGAAAACGACTCGCCGTAGCGCAGTGGCGCAAAACGACACACAACTACTATGACGGAAAATCCATGGTTTTATTACACTGTAGGGATTTGCTTATCAATACACTCGTATATAGTCGCGGACACACATGCGCGCAATGTACATGATGTACGAACTAATTAACGATGCTCTCACACACGACAAAAAGAAAGGCACTAATTTTATATTTATATTTTCTATATTTTTATATTTTTGCAATTTGTTTTCTAACTTCCCTTCTGAACTTACGTCTGAATATTCAAGTCGAACCTAATAAAGCCCCTATACAAGTACCAGTTTGCCTATCAAAGCGGCAAATCTGCCATGGCGACAATTCATGATTTGACCATCAAGTGAGCGATAGAAGGCAAGCTGTTGTTGTCTTCATCATTATACAAGAGTCTTTTGACAATACGTCATACGTGGCTATAGAAACAGCCTTGGAAAAAAAATATTCCAAACCTGATTATCAATTCGACAATCAATATGCTGAATTCCAGGCTCGTTACGTCTGGCAGGACATTCTTAACCATCAGAGCCAATAGTGGGGGCGTGCTCTCTCCTTTGGATCGTGGTCATAGATGAGCTGCTAGTGAAACTAAACGACTGGGGATTCAAAACACTAGGTTATGCGGAAGGCATACAAGTGGTGGCATGGCAAAGAACTGAACATTAATCCCCAAAAAATGGTCATGGTGTTTTTTTCGAAAAAGGAGAAATTAATATTGGATAACGTTCACTTGCTGGATGTGGTCCTTGGTTATTCAAATGAGATGAAATACCTGTGTGTCTTTGACAGGAGCTTAACCTAGAATCCTTATTTAAGACGGCAAACGGAAGAAATGGTCAGAGCATCCTTTGCGTGCTAATGCTTTTAGGGTAAAACATGGGTATAAGTCTGGATATGATCTATTGGTCTTATACCACCATAATCTTCCCCATGCTAACCTACGCAGCTTTGCCCTGGTGGCCTAAGCTGAAGCATAAGACGTCGGCGACGGAATTAGCTAAAACCCATCGTCTAGCGTGCATTGGCTTTAGGGGCGGTAAGATCTCACCCCGTGAATGTTCTAGAGGCGCGGCCTGAGCGAACTTAGACTGTCGAATTTCCGTACACTAAAACCGGGGAATCTCAGGGAAGGACTAGCGATATGAAAAAATTTCATGAACGAACCTTTGTAAAGATACCGGACCATTGCGCTATAAAGTTAGTGCTGTCCCAGCGCTTCAGGGTGACCATACCGCCGAGAAAGGGTTGGGACGAGCAAGGTTTTGAACTCGAAGTGGAATAAAGGAAATGATACACCGACGGGTAAAAATTGTAAAAAGGCAAAACTGGGGCTGGGGCTCATGGCCCCACTTTCGAGAAGGCCATGCCAGTGGGACATAACACCTCCATATTCCAACCAGGAGTCTACGCAACTACCGCATGTTCATCTGAATGCTTCAGAAGGCTGAGGAAGGGAGAGCGGACCTGTACATTCCCATAGCCAAGCCGCCTTAAAGTCCCTGAGGACGTGAATGAGAACATCCAGGATGCTATTGGAGCTCCCTCAAGCACAGAATGAGCTAGGCTGGTATAATAATATGCACCAATTGGTGCGTGGACACTCGGGTATTGAGGGCAATAAAAGGGCTAGCTGTCTAGCAGGAAAGTTCGAGGGGCCATGGTCTGTCTGCTACCAAGAAGCCACATTTATAAACTGCTATCGCAATGGGCACAGAATAAAGCAGACTGGCGATGGAAGCTATATGCGGCACAACAGCAAGCAAAAAGATTCATAGAATCTTCCGGTGGGTCGCAGAAACTACAAGAACAGCAACCTACGTTTAGCAACCGACATCTTCACCATTCACGTGTACGTTTGATACCGATTCATACAGATAATTGCCAAGGGTCGAGTGAAACGTCTCATCATATTCTATGCGAATATGAGACCATTTGCAGAATTAGACACCAAGTGTTTGGTGGTTCAAAATTGGCGAGCATTTTACTACGCCAGATACGGTATGGTGGTCTGATCCAAAGATGGTGGCGGGAATCACAAAGATCCTAAAACTGGAAGACTAGGAACATGGGTGCGTACAATAGACCTTCTAGGTCGCGATATAGTTTGACCAAGTAATTAATAATAAGCTAGTGATTTTAATATGTAAGCACCTCGTTTTTTATTGAATAAGCTAGATGAATCAATCATGTCAAATCAAAACCATGCTGTTTTTATTTCTCCAATCGGTATTCCGTTTCAAGTGCCCGAATACTACTTCAATAAAAGATTTCCCAATAGCTCACACAAGTTTATGTGCTTGCGTGGGTCAAAGACAGGGGATTAAACAAACGATTTTCAGTGCTATTATAATTCATTTAAATTTCTTGCATCGGTATGTATTTCTATGAGTCGTCTACTATTTCTGGCATTTTTTTCTTCAGTGTGAATGAGCGAATTAAAGACAGCTACTACGTTGTAACTAACGTTCTTTGCAAGAAAAAACACGATTAGTAATTAATATTTTCCTCTCTTGTATGACAAGCACGGATTTTTACCAGCAGCTATTTTTCAAACAAAAAGGGAAAATGTAAAACTTATTAAAATCCCAATTGAAAAAAGTGGCATTTATGAAACGGTAGCTAGGGAGGACATTATCGCGGTATTACCTTCTTCTTCTGACTGCGGTTACGTAGGATTATACCAGGCAGCGGAAAGAAAGAAAGCTCAATCATCCACATTTCTCCAAATCTCCGAAATCTTTAACTACTAACAGAAATCTCCATCATTAGGCATATCTATCGACGTAATTTGTATACAAACGGGCCAAACAAAAGAAAGATGGCATTAGGCTAAATCCACCCTCCAGGTAGCAGGTTCAGGAAGTTTTAAACTATTCGCAAGCAACACTCTGTGAAATGCTCTTTAAGCGATTACATACCGCCATTGTCTTACTGTCCAACCCTGCAAGTCCTACTGCGCCAACAGTTCGGCTAATAAGGGATACACAAACCAAAAAGAAAGATCCATGAAAACGGAGATAATAATGACAAAGTGAGATTTAAAAATGTTATACACTGTTGAAATTTGTAGGTTAGTTGTCTGTTGCTTAAGTGAACCTTGTTTATACTAAATCTCTCAAAATATTGAACCCGTCCTCCGCCTAACACTTACACACCACTATTACCAAGGGAAATAAACTAATTGAAATAATATTCCGTGTTTATTAAATAAAATATTATAATGTTAAAAAAAAAAGAGAAAAAATCCGAAGTTTGACTGTATACATGATGATAGTTTTTTATTTTAAGCGGTCGTCATTGTCCCTTGATCGTCAAATTGTTAATATTGTTACGGAAATCTCAAATCTAGTCATTTTCTACAACCAAATTTACATTCGCTAGGCGTCATGCAGCTGCAGATCGATGAAAGCGATTAGCGGAAAAACAGACAGGTAAAAGCAGAGTGCACATTCGCAGGCGCCTCATGCAGCTGCATGCCGATGAAAACGGTTACCAACAAAAGCAGGTTAACGAATTAAATGTCAAGTCATAAATTTAGGTATAGTAACATTCTTGTAAAATTGTATATAAATCGAATATTTGTGAAAAGTAGAGTTAGTCTGGCAAGAACTTAGAAGTTGAAAGTACGGCCAAAATATATCGTAAATAAATATTCCTACTGTTGTGAGAGACAAAGTAGTAAAATAAAAGAACTTTGAAGTGTATTTCTCTTGATCAAAATATCTACGATCTAGTGATACGGACTGTATCTTGTAAAAAGCGAATTTCATAACAACTGGTGTCAGAAGTGAGATCGTGGAAACTAAGAGAAATGGTGAGATTAGAAGAACTCAAAGTGGAGCAGCTCAAACAAGAGCTGGGAAAAAGAAGCCTTCGTACAACCGGTACTAAAGCTGAATTGAAACAAAGACTGGTCGAACAGCTAGAAAAAGACGGACTGGACCCGTTGATACTTGAATTCGAATATAATATCGAGGGAAAGGAGCAAGCCGACAACTTGTTAGGTGCAGAAAAAGCAGCTACAGCAGGGGAAAAACATAGCGAAGAAAAAGGCGCAGATAGTGCAAGTATGTCAAGCATTATGCAGTTTTTACAACAAATACAGGAAATGCAACAACAAACGCAACAAATGCAACAACAAACGGAACAAATGCAACAACAAATGCAGCAACAAATGCAACAACAAACGGAACAGATAGAATCAAAAATCGACGAGAAAATACAAGAAAATCAACCCATCCTGAAAACACATATAGACGAAACACACGAGCAATTGGATGCCAGAATAAATGCACAGGAAGAGAATGCAGACGCCTTCAAAAAGGAAATGAAAACCTTAAAAAAAAGAAATGGCTAAGTTACAAACTAACGACATAACCACCAGCTCTATCAAAGTAAAAACACCCGTATTTGACGGCACCGCCAACTTCGACGCATTCAAGCTACAATTTGGTATTGTTGCAACATAAAATATGTGGGATGATGAAGATAAAGCAGTCGCCTTAGTAACTTCCTTAAGAGGAGCAGCAGTGGAAATTATCCAGATAATCCCGGAAGGAAAAAGAACGGAATTCGCGGAAATTATGGATGCATTGGAAAGGAAATATGGTAGCAAACATGTGAAGAAGGTAAGCCATCTAGAGTTGTCTTCGCGCTACCAGAAACTGAATGAAAGGATCCAAGATTACGCTACCGATATCGAACGCCTGGCCAATCTCGCTTATATCGGAATGCCCAACGACGTGCTGGAACGATTGAAAATCGACGCTTTTGTTAGAGGACTTCGTGACGCGGAGCTTAAAAGAGCTATATGGACATCACCTAAAACGACGTTCACGGAAACGCTTGGCTTCGCACTTACACAAGAAGCAGCTAGTGTACTATGGACATCAAGCATGAAGGTGAGACGCACGCAAGTTACCAGCGAGAACGATAATTTGGATGTGGTCTGCGCGGCGTGTCGACAAGTCCCGCGCGGTAATAAGCAAGTGTGGGGTTCAAGAACACGCAAGTGTTATGTTTGCCAAAAACCGGGGCATTTTGCACAGGAACGCCGATCAAAGCACAAAAGAGCACACTCCATGTCACCTACACGGAATTTTAGTGAAAGTGCCAGCGAAATATCCAACAAACAGACGTTAAACTAAAAAGAGTCAGCACAGCAGGGCAACGGCTGACTCAGAAATTTAGTAGCCTTATCGTCATTATTACTCAGGCAAAAAGAAGTAATAGCAGCCTAACGATCGATGAGAAGATCCAGGGCTGTGAACACATCATCATGCTGGACACTGGTGCTCGCATTCAATTATCAACACTACAATCGTCAAAGAAAAATTTGACCCGTTAGTGGGGGCACGATTCCGAACGGCAACTGGTGAGGAAGCTCCTATTAAAGGTAAAATTATCAGAAACATTTCGATTAGCGACGTTTCAATGAAGCATGAATTTCTGGTGGCAGATATAATGGACGAAGTAATATTGGGGATGGATTTTATGGCAAAACATGGCTTAGTACTGGATATGAAAAGGCAAGTGTTACAATACGCTAATGTGACTTTGCCGTTGACTGTAGGATACGACAGACAAGCCGAAGTGTTACAAGTTGTAGTACAACGACAACAGAAGATCCCTCCAAACTCCGAAGCAATAGTGTGGGCCGCGGCTACCGAGGAGCTAAGGCTAAACAAGACATGGGTTGTCGAGCTGAATAAAGAATATACGAAAGACAACATCATCATTGGAAAAGCGGTTGTATCACCAGTCAACAATTTAATACCAGTACGGCTATTAAACCCGACCAACGTTACAACAAAAATTCACAAAGGGGACATTATAGCACAATGCCAAAAAGCCGAATATGTAGTAGATCATCAAGCCGAAACTCCGAAAACACGCCCAACGGTATCCCCAGAGGCTGAAATTCTCATAATAGGATGGACTAGCAATCTGGATGAGCAGCAGAAGAAATATGCCAAAAAGTTTTTGGTGGAAAATTGGTCCATCTTTGCCGACGGTACGAATTTAAATGGCCGTACTAATGCAGTGAAGCATATAATTAACACTGTAGGAGCTGATCCGATTCGGCAACGGCCTAGAAGAATTCCACTGGCAAAAAGAAGAAAAGTGGCGGACTTAATCAAAGACATGCAAGAGCAGAAAGTTATCGAACCATCGAATAGCCCTTGATGTTCGCCAGTAGTCCTTGTTAAAAAAAAGATGGATCTACCAGATTTTGTGTGGATTACAGGAAGCTGAACGAAGTAACCAAGAAAGATAGCTACCCTTTGCCTAGGATCGACGACACCCTAGACACCTTGCCAGGTTCGCAATGGTTCTCAACCTTAGATTTGAAGTGTGGGTACTGGCAAGTGGAGGTCGCCGAACATGACAAGGAAAAGACCGCATTCTCCGCTGGCGAGGGTTTATATCAGTTTACTGTAATGCCGTTTGGATTATGCAACGCGCCAGCCACATTGGAGCGCCTAATGGACTGCGTGCTAAAAGACATGCCTGGTGTATCTGGACGACATCATTGTCATGGGTAAAAATTTCAAGGAACACCTAGAAAATCTGGCAAATGTTTTTCACCGATTACAGGTAGCAGGTTTAAAACTGATAGAAATCTCGGCAACGGTTGTCGCGAAAACTTTTGTAACCAACTACATCTCACGTTTCGTTGAGCTGCAAACAATCACAAGTGATAAGGAAGGACAGTTTACTTCAAACCCTTCTCAGAATTAACAAAATTACCCGGTGTTCATAATATAATAACCACTTCATATCACCCTCAAGGCAAAAGTATAATAGAGCACTTTCACAAATAATTAAAAACAGAAATCTTACCCAGACAGAGATCGGTAAAATAGAATGAAGAATTACCGATAGATCTGTTAGGACTTTGCACGGTGTGCAAATAAGACATATCTGCCTCACCGGCGAAAATGCCTTATGAAGAAAACTTTCGGATGCCGGGAGAATGCTAGTCTCAAATATAGACGTCGACGTACATCGCCCGCGTTTATTCCACAATTAACAGAAAGCTTCGAAAACGTCAAATCGAACATAACCATCAAGGAAACCCGCTTTCCAATGTGGATGTCCCCAAAACGTTAACAACTTGCGAATAAGTTTTTAAGTCCAAACAATCTTTCATTAGAATGCTCTTACGAGGTTAGTGAAAAAATTCCAAACTATTTAAAATGCAAATCAAGTCGAATTTTTGACTCCCATTTTTTCTTTGCAAAGTACCCATAACAAATCTTCCAATGCACTTACTTCTTTCTGTTTCATTTTCCTTTTTCACATGCTTCATAAGAGTGCATTGTTTGTTTGACTCTTTCATCGATTTAACATGTAGTTCTTGCTACCTAGATTGTGGAACTAACTTTACTAATAAGTTCTAATTTACGATAAACATTTTACTTTTTAGTTTGTAAAGATTATTGAAATAAATGTTGTGGTCTATTTTAGACTAGACAGCCACAGAAAAGATAAGCATTGCCTTTTAGATAGCTTACTTTCTCTATGATGGTACGAATCTTTCCCCAGTCGGTTTAATTATTGTATGATTTTTATACACACCATTGTAGGCTTGGAGGTATACTCATTTTGTCACAATGTTTGCAGCACCTATAATGAAACTTCAGAGACCCTACAAAGGATATATAATCTCGATCACTATGAAATTCTGAACTCACCATGCCAAGTTTGTCAGTTCGTGTGTCTATACGGTACGTGTTATTGCGACTCTCCTGATCGCAAAAATGAAGATATCGACTCAAAATTCGACAGCAGCGTTGCAAACTTTTACCCGCTGTTTGATATTTAAATTTGCGCAAATTGGTCAAAGCATAAATCTGCAGTGAAGTGTAAACTGGACGAATCTGTTAACCAAAATTTCTGGGTTTTACTCTTTAGTCACAAGTTATACAAGATAGAAGACTAAGCTTTCTTACATTTACTTTACGAAAAAGTATACTATTTGTGTGCAAAAGCGCAAATAATGGACTATGCTCAACAAAAGTTACAAATGATTAAATTTTCTATTATTCACTCTTTTGAGGGTCTGTGCCTATTAATGTACAGAATGTTTAAACAATTTTGCGTATTTCTCAAAGGAGGATCTGCCTAAATCTAGAATAAGTAGGGTGGACAGCCCGTCTTGGGGGATTAGTTTCTTTTTAATAATATCAGATTTATTGGTATCATATAAAAGGCTTCTAGAATGCGACAAGATATGTGTGTTAGATTTAAATTAATTGTAGTGGACGCTACGGCGTGGCGGATTAAGTTTTAAGTGAATTATTCCTCCTTCTTCTTGGTGGTGGTGCTGAAATACTTGATTGCATTGATTCATTTCGAATTGCAACCATATCTCCTACTTAAACATATTTGTGGTAATCACTCCATTTATATCTTTTTCGGAGTTCCTTAAGATATTACTCCTTCTACCCTCGTGCAAAGAAACGATATTTTCAGTTTACGCTCTCCGTTGTATTAACGTAATCGCAGATCAGAAATGTCTGGTTCAGTGGGGATGAAAATTGCCTTCTTAATTGGGAAATGACTGGTAATTAGTGAAATGAGATCATTACCGTGGTCACTTCTAAAGCATAGTGATGTAGAGTTCAAACATCCTTTAATCCTAGCTATCATTATTGAAAATTCCTCGGATGTAAACCTCTGAGTCATAGATAATTCTTTCAGATGGGTTTTGACATTTTTAAGTCTTTTTTATCCACCATGATTGCCATGCGATTTTATATCCACCATGAAATGCCGCGCTTCTCGCTTTAATAAATCGGACACGTCGGCAAAGATAGAACCGTTATCCGAATAAGGACCTTATGGAGACCATCGACAGGAAGAGAAGCAAGCAAATACAGCCAAAGAGGCTTGAGTGAACATATCTGTTGTAGCTTCGAGTTGAATTGCCTTTGTGACAAAGCACACAAACACTAATTTATACCCCTTCATGGTTTTGCACACCCGTCCTACATAAGGCTTTCCGGCAAAATTAAAAACCAGTATGGATATGGACGAGACAACATCCTTTGAGGAGACAAAGTCGCCATAATTTGTTCGGTTCTAAGTTTCTTATGTAGTACACGTATCTTATAATCGCCGATAACCATTTTTATAAAATTCTTTAGCTTTGCACCCAAAATTCAGACCCAATGAAACGCATCATGAAAGATATACCCCCATGTAGAGTACAAATGTGAATATGTTTAATTTGAAGAACAGTGAAGCGAGCTGTACATAAGAAAATTTTTGGAAAACTGTCATTATAAGGTAGGAAAGTCGACTGTATTTAGCAAACCTGTTTGTTAACAATTTTGTGGTCCCACGCTAACGTTGAGTGCCACTTTTGTGTCTAATGACACTGTCTTTATCCTAATTGTCTATCCAGAAGCCATGAACTGCATTAATTTTAGGGGTACTCGAAAGAGATTTGGGGCTGATGAGACTCATATACATGCCTTTGCTGAGCTAGGTAGTTGGTGAGTTGTGAGGGAGTTTTATATATTCTCTCTTACACACTGTTCAGACATACTCACCCAAAGCAATAACACGCACGTAGCATTGAATCAACACGCAGACGGACGAAACCTTACCGGCTGTGAGGATGTACTCTAAACCATGGGCCTTTCATTACCCATCCTACCCAATTGTCTCCTTCGGTCCTTGATTTCTAAGGGAGGTCTCGACGTTGGGCCCGACCTTACGATACCCTTGCTGTCATAAGAATAACTGTTTTATTTAAGGTTCACTTTTTTTTTGTTTTTTTATTCCAATTTTGATTATCAAAAACACATAAATATATATATTTATATATATAAATATAAGATATAATCAGAGTCAACAGTTTTTTATATAATGTTTTTATATTTATACAAAAAAAATGATATAAAGCGAATCAAATTAAAAGTAATAAATACACTACTGTCTCTTTCTTTTTATAAGTTCATATGTTACTACGTTTCGTATAAAGCTAGTTACCGAAGTGTAAAATAATTGAACCTGCAGATACAGCTAGTCACAGCAATACTGCTTTCTGTCATAGGCATCTGATGAGCAAGAATCAATTGAAATTCTTGTAAGAACAATTACTTACCGCTTTCGTACTTCTTCAATCAGATGTGACGTTTTCTTATTATGCTTTGTACTTGGCTTTAAAAGAAAAACTCTATGTGTCAGTGTATATGAGTAACACCATTGCTTTATAATTGTTTATTTTTATTGTTGTAATATAATGAATCGCGGGCAACGCAGGCGACGTCGATATTGCAATACTTTATTTAATTAATAAAATTGAACATACTTTCGATATTATTTTTCTACTAAAATATTGTAGATGCAGTTATTAGATTATATTTATTTTTCGTTAAAGCAAACATAAGTCGAAGCTTCTGCTTATTCAAGAAAATAATATGGATAACTTTTCTTCATTCAATATCAAACTTTGAATGACAAAGCAATAAAATGTTGTTTTGCTGTTAATGGATTACTCACATCTTCTTTATCTTTAAATCATAAATCAATTACAACATACTTCCTCTTTCGGTAACGATCTCATTCAACACAATGTCAGCGCAAAGCAAAATATTAATCGTCCTTAAGTTCTGTAACGGGGGTAATTTATAGTTGGGGTTTCGCTCAGGGCTGTGCAGCGGTCCGTTCCAAGAAATTTATTCGTTGAATTAACGGAACCGTCGTATTTTGGTGTTCATTATCAAATATATATTTATGGAACTTCGCGGTGGAAGGAAAAAACCAACACAGGACGATAACTACTACTACTTTACCTGTTCGTTCAACTGCTGTTGAACAACTAAAAGAAAGATTACTGCTTGCTCGCTGCTTTTATAGCTGTTGTCTGCCGCACCAATGCGTTGATATTTAAAGGTTTCACCACGAGGAGTGTTTACATAGGAGACTAACTTACTGAAAGCTATATTCGTGCTTATATGTAAAGCTGTAAAACGAAGTCGAACAGCGTTGCATTATAATTTCATGTGATAATAACAGGCCTACAGTTTTTAATATAAGACCTTAAAGGTTAGTGAGCTTAACCAGAGTCAGTTAACTTTTATTTACATTTACATAATAAATCTTTTAGTGTTCGGAGCGGTTAAGGAAGTCTGCTTCCTTACAGTACTTTAATTATACTTCAGTCTTCAAAT